GGGCCAACTGCACCATTAGATAGTGTCACTATAAGCTATTGTACCTGTGGACAGTGCCAGTATGAGTTAATGCAACTGGACAGTGCCATTATAAGCTATTGTACCTGTGGACAGTGCCAGTATGAGTTAATGTACCTGTGGACAGTGCCGCTATGAGTTATATAAGTATACGAACCTTTGGACAGTACATTTGTGATTTAATGTACCTAAGGACTGTGCCAGTATGAATTAATGAACATTTGGAAAGTACCAATATGGATTAATATACCCTTATAATATAATGATATAAATTGACGTACCTTCGGACAGTCACAACTTGAGTCAGCACCTTTGGAAAGTAACAGTACAAGTTCCTGTATCTGGATAGTGACAATAAAAGTCAGTGTACCTTTGGAAAGTAGAAAAAAAGGTTTGGTGAGTCTATGTGAGTGTATGTACCTTTGGAAAGTGACACTATACCCCTGTTGTGTCACTACTTGTTAATAACGACACTTAGTACCTTTGGACAGACGCAGGTAATTAATATACCTTTGAATGGTAACAAAGGGTTAGATAATGCACCTTTGGATAATCACAACAGGTGTTCAGTACACATGTGAAATTAACACCTGTGTGACCCATTCCACTGTAAAAGTAACACCGGTGTGACGTATTCCACGGTGAAAATAAGCTAAACCTCACATATGGACCATTAAACCTCCCAGCAAAATGTTCAAGATCTATGGATTTTCGTTGAAGAAGCCCTGGAAACCTACCGCCCCATCATCTGTGGCCACTGGAAACCAAACGGAAGTCAGGAGTTCCACCAGCGTCAGAAATTCAGGGCTTGTTGAGGGATCCGCTGAGGGGCGTGACGTGGCGGATGTTGCAGGGATATCAGATGACGTACAGGTGGTGTGAGATGTTTATTATTTGTCTAATTATTTCCTTGATCTCAGAGGTGGAGAGCCAGGGTAGTGTGTGTGTGTGTTTATATGTCTCCTCTTATAGCCAAATGACCTGAAGGTGTTGGTCTTCCTTCAGGAGGAGAAAGAAGAGGAAGAGGGGGTGAGGAGGAATCGCTTAGAGAGGAGGAGTGAGGAACACGGGAGACTTGTAGCCGCCCAGGTGTTTCTCTCGTGGCCGCAGGAAGGTTCTCGTCGAGCCTACCAGTCCTCCCTCACTACCGCCCTTGATCACCACCACCTTTCCACCACGACACAAGGGGTGAGTCACTCTAAGCGGGTGTGGGATGTGTACTAGACAGGTTTTGGGGGTGTAGCAGGTGTATTGGTGTTTACTATAGATAGGTGTGGGGGTGTGATAGGTGTAGGGGTGTGATAGGTGTGGGGGTGTGCAGTAGTGTAGTGTAGTGTGTATTTTGGTGTTGTGTTACCTGAGAAAGCGTAATGTAGTTTTAGTATTTGTGATGAACGAACTAATAACGCTGAATTTTCCTTTCTCTCACCCATCCACCTACACACCCACCTACACACCCACCTACACACCCACCTACACACCCACCTACCCACCCACCTACACACCCACCTATACACCAACCTACCTAACCACCTACCCATCCACCTGCCCACACACACAGGGTGGAGACGACCGCAGCCGGTTATGGAACGGCCACCTGTCCTCAAAGGCCACCGAGGACCTACACCATCTGGGAACCAAACTACGACTCAGCCAGGAGGTACAACAGCTGGCTTGGTGGGTGGTGGGGAGTCGCTTGGCCTCCGTGGATGCCCTCTGGACCTATAACCAGCTGCAGGTGGTTCAGAAGGCCCTGGCAGATGGGGCTTACGGTCAGGAGGACTTGGATGAGCTGCTACACTCCCTCACGCTCTATATCTACTCACAGATCAAACGCCTCAAGTCCCTACACAGTGCCTTTCCCGGGACCCAGGCTGGCAGACAACTTACTTATACCCTGAGGTCAGTGTATGGGTCAGGAGATTATACTGAGAGGAGGGGGTGAGGGGGTAGGTAGTATGAGTGAAGTATAGATATAGAGAGAGTGAGAGAGAAGGATAGGTAGAATTAAACAGAGAGAAAGAGATAAGTAGATAGAGAGAGATAGAAAGAGAGACAGAGAGAGGGAGACTACAATAATGATTGACACACACACACACACACACACACACACACACACACACACACACACACACACACTCTAGGTCCTGTCATACACACAGTATCAACCATCATTATCACCCCGGCAGGTCACTACAGGGTCTGGAGCAACACCCAGCCACTCGTCAGCTGCTGGACCAGGCGGGTCAACCTGTCTTACCTGAGGACATATTAGCTGCCATACTCCGTCACGCTCACGACTGGTATGTCTGTCTGTTTGTCTGTCTGCTGTCTGTTTCTGTATTATCTGTCTGTCTATTTGTCTATCTGTATGTCTGTTTGTCTTTGTCTATCTGTGACTGTCTTCATATAGAGCTCTACCTGTCTTAAACTCAGTAATGAGTCACCAAAACACCTGTCATCTAGAAATCTACTTGTCCTCACCTGTCAGTAATCAATCAACTGAAACACACCTATAATATCCTGCAGGTGGGCGGGTGTGCTACAGGTGATACAGAAGGAGGAGGCGACGGAGGAGAACCCACACCAACAGGTTCCTGCCCTGGTCGAAGTAACCCACATGGCTCTCACCTTCCTTCAACAAGACGCCCAACACTACGATCATATATTTAATAAGTAATTCACAGTTATTCTATGTCTGTTGTTGTCAAGTTTCGTTTTATGTTTGTTGTTCTTTTGTTGTTTTGTTTTGTTTGTTGTTGTTTTGTTGTTTTGTTTTATGTTTGTTGTTGTTTTGTTGTTTTGTTTTATGTTTGTTGTTGTTTTGTTTTATGTTTGTTGTTGTTTTGTTGTTTTGTTTTATGTTTGTTGTTGTTTTGTTGTTTTGTTTTATGTTTGTTGTTCTTTTGTTGTTTTGTTTTATGTTTGTTGTTGTTGTTTTTTGTTTGTTTTGCGTTTGTTGTAATAATCTAGATCACGTGAATATTAAGCACCCCAGCTTGATTTACCTGATTAAACACCCTAACCTAACCTAACCTAACCTAACCTAAGCCATGTCTCTTCGTTAGGGAGATGGGAGTCACCTACACGTCAATAAGCTACGGAGAATTCAGCAAGCAGGTGGCCCAGGTGTTAAGACCGCTTCTCAGACCCTCTCCTCCCCGCTATCCGACACGAGGTATGGCTGACTCCATGCTTAGTGCCTATACAAGTAGACTATGGGAATAAATACCCTTTTCTATGGCTTTGTTGTTATAGTTCTTTCTCTCTCTCTCTCTCTCTCTCTCTCTCTCTCTCTCTCTCTCTCTCTCTCTCTCTCTCTCTCTCTCTCTCTCTCTCTCTCTCTCTCTCTCTCTCTCATAAATCTACATACATAAATACACAGATAAACGTCTTAATGAGGTAATTAACATTCTTATCAATCTTTCAGGTGAGCTGGACGGGGAACAACACAGGTCGAAATTCGTGCACAACTTCGACGTGGGTTCGTCCTTATGGTCCCTCTATCACAACCTACGGCACATGCACGCGTGAGTCCTCTTTACCTTTGAGTTGTGAGTAAGTGAGTGAGTGAGTGTTTTAGTAATAGTAGTAGTAGTAGTAATAGTAGTAATAGTAGTAGTAGTAGTATAAAAACTGAAATGACTTATCAATCTCACACAGTGTTGGGGTGCAGGCAGGAGGAGGAAGGGGAGAAGACGAAGGAAGAGGAGGAGGAAGAAGAGGAAGAGAGACAGGTGGTGAGGGGGCCCCGGTCGAGAGTTTCCCCAGCTGGTTCATGGACAGTGTGGCCACCTGGCTTACCCACTCACAGCAGGAGAATCAGCGTCTCCTTCAGGAAGCTCTTCTACAGGATAGTCTCTCTGTTGTCACTATTACTCCTGCCGACTCCAACACCCAGACCACATCTATGCTCTCGAACGACGCCCTTCTACAGGATGAACTCTCTCCTCCTGGTCCTGTTGCCTCGTCCCACGTAGAAAACTCTCGACATCTCCCCCAGGAATGTCCCCTACAGGATAAAATTTCTCTCCCTGGTCCTGCCTCTATAACCACCAAAACCTCCTCGATATCTAAGGACCCCCTTCTGCAGTATAAACTCCCTGCTGCTGGTACTTCTCCCCAGACCTCCTATAGACCCCCACATCAAGGATATCCACAATACCTCCATCAGAAAGGTCCTCTACAGAATAAACTTCCCGTCTGTGTTCCTGCCCTGACGACTACCCACACCCACGCTCTTCATGAACTCCTACAAGCTTTCAGAAGGGTAAAACAATTGTTTATTATTGTTAGTGTGTGTAATATACTGTGTCCTTATGTCTTTGGTTGGTTAGTTTAGTACACACGGAAACTCATACAAGGCATTGTGAATCAATGTAGAGGTTAAGAGTCGCTTGAAATATTGTATGTGTAAGTTGAGGATATGAGTATTGTTATCTTATTTCCCTTGCCTGTTTCCGGTCATACACACACACACACACACTCACTTGTGATGCAGATGAGGAACTTGATATACTGATAAATGTATAGTGTGTTGAAGGAAGCAGGTGTTATGAGGCTGCAAGTGAATAGGCCAGCACAGGTGTTAATTAAGGTGATTTACTGCACCCTAACACAGGTAAACACGTGGTGGGAGTCACTAGCCTGGCCGTGTGAGGAGGAGACGTGTGGAGTGTTGGTGGTGGTGGTGTTGGAGAACCTGTGTTATCTCGCCGCCACCTGTTGTAGAGGTCTTGCTCACCTCCCCCACCACCAACACGCACCCACCACCACCACCTCCACCACTACCGTCACCACCACCACCACCACTACTGCCTACCACCGTCCACTCACACGTATTGCCCATCATCATCATCACCTTCCTCCTTTTCCTCCACCCATACACACCCACCCTTCACCCATACACACTCACCCTTCACCCATACACACTCGCCCTTCACCCATACACACCCACCCTTCACCCATACACACCCACCCTTCACCCATACACACCCGCCCTTCACCCATACACACCCACCCTTCACCCATACACACTCACCCTACAACCAAACACACTCACCCTCCACCCACTAAAACCACCCAAAATAATCCACATACACCCATCGTTACTGGTCAGCCTCCACCCACAGCCTCTCATTCTCCATCCACCCACAGCACCAACCTTCCACCCACACCCATACCCACACCCACACCCACACCCACACCCACACCCATACACCATCTAACAGGTCCCTGCTTTGATGTCAAGGTAATTATGAAGATTTTTTAAAGGTATTTTTTTTAGGTAATTTTATGTCTTTTGGTTTGGTGGGGTCATCTTTTATTATTATTGTTATTATTATTACAGCATTAGTATTTATTTATTTTTTTGTTTCTTTTGTTATTCAATTATTAAATTTACATCTCAAACAAGTATTAATTTTGATATGACATCTTTAGTAATTTTCAAGCCAGATAAATATTCACTCTTAATTAAATTAGTAAGTTCACGAAGATTTATTTTATATATTTATGTATGATTAACCAAATGAAAGTCAAGAAAATACATCTATTATTCTACCATCAGTTATGTAGGAGAGTGAACAGCATGTGGAAGGCGCTGCAGGAGGTGGGTCATCTGTCTGAGACCTTCCGTGTGGGGGAGGTGGTGGAGGGGCTGACCAGGTGTGGGAGGAGAGGCGCAGGTGACCAGGTTAACACTACAGTGGCCGCCCTCCTCACCAGCGTCACCCATAACCTCCACACACTGCTTGATCACTACCTAGAGACGGCTGTTGACCAGGTGAGGGGCATCTGTGTCTGTCTGTTTAACGTAGATTACAGTGAAATATCTATTCAATGGACTATATGGAAAGGCAAAGCCGTTATATGTAGGGTGTGTTAGATGTGAAACCTTTATTTAATGAACCATATAGAGATGGAAATCTGTTTTCTCAAGGGTCTGTTAGATGTGAAACCCCCTATCTAACGAATTACATGGGGAGAGGAGTCCGTTATATGGAGGTTTCACTGACAGACAAACAGACAGACCAATTTTGTATCACTTCTCATACACACAGATAAAACCGAGGTTAAGGGATGCTGTGGAGAAGTCCTGCGAGGAAGGACGAGGGACACCCCTGGTGGAGGATACACTGAGTCCTACACTTACACTCCTGCAGGAACACCTACAGCCACCGTCACTTCGTCAGCGTCTTCTTCTGCGACTGTGGGACGCCGTGTTGGTGCTGTTCATGGTAGTAGTCAGTAATAAGGTAAGAGATAGGTAATATTGATTATCTTAGTTATCAGTGTCTTGTTTATAGTGAAACCTCTATTTAACGGATTATATGGATGCGATAGTCAGTTATATCGAGGGTTCGTTAGATATGGAACCTCCATCTAACAGATTACTGTGTGTATATATATATATATACATATATATATATATATATATATATATATATATATATATATATATATATATATATATATATATATATATATATATATATATATATATATATATACAGATGAAATTCCGTTATATGGAGGGTCTGTTAGATATGAAACCCCCATCTAACGGATTAAAATACAGATGACAGTCCGGTATATGGAGGTTTCACTTGTATACACTGTACCGGGGTATATATTTACCGTACTTATCTCTGTTATTTCTCTCGGTAACAGAAGAAAGCTGTTGAGTATTACGAGGCTGTGTTAAGTGTGCTTGACTTGACCTTTCTTCTCCTGACGCGGCGTGACCTTAACCCTACTGCTGCCACTACTCCAGGTAGATAGATAGACAGATAGGTAGTAGGCAGTTACCAAACAGGGAGGTACTACCGCCTGGGAAGATAGTGGAAGCATAATGTGTTGTCTAATGGTAGACCCTGCTGCCATATGGCATCACGAAAATTGTGACCAAGTCCCAGGTTGCTCATCCGACTTTCTGCTTCATTTACACACAATTGCAGAGTTTCATTTGTTTCTCTTACTATTGACAACACAACATACTATTGTTTCTCACTTTTGATATTTTTGTTTTCATTTTTGTATTTATTATTATTATTATTATTATTATTATTATTATATTATTATTATTATTATGATTATTATTATTATTACAGTTCTTCTTATTCTTATTCTTATTATTCTTATTATTATTATTTTTATTATTATTATTATTATTATTATTGTTATTATTATTATTATTACAGTTCTTATTATTTTCATTATTATTTTATTATATTTTTTATTTTTTATTATAAAATTTATTTACTATGAATTATTATTATTATTATTATTATTATTATTATTATCATCACATTTTCGCTCCCCAGGCCCCGATGTGGGTCAGTGACCTGTGCCTGGGTGGGCTAATCCCCGTAAAAAAAAAAAAAAGAAAGAAAGAAAGAAAAAATAGATAGTTAGTGATGGATGGTTAGATAGATAGATAGATAGATTGATAGAGGGATAGATTAGATGGATATACAGATGGATGGATAGATAGTTAGTGATGGATGGATAGCTAGATAGATGTGTAACTAATTGAATAGATCAATAAAAGTCTGAAAATTAAGCCCTGTCTCTCTCTCATTACCCCCCCCCCCTCACTCTCTCCATAGGGTACACATCACTGAAGGAGGCACTGGAGGAGCAGGCAGTAAGCACCCCAGCACTCATAGTTCAGTACTACCGGACCAGACACGCCCACCTGACGCATTACCAACACCCCACCACCGCTCGCCTCCTCATCAGGGTCAGTCATTAGACCCATCACCTGATATTTAGACATAATTCGCTAAATAAGACAAATTCCTAGATATAATTAGATAAATAAAGTAAATTCCTAGACAATTAGGAAAATAAGGTAAATTCCTAGACATGATAAGGTGAATAATTCTTCCTTACAGGCATTCTACAGTCAACCAGGGCGCCTCACTCTACGTGTTCTCGAGGCTAGGGATATACCACCAAGAAGGGAGAGTTCTACATCTTCCTGTTGCTCTTCTTCCTCGTCATCTTCCTCCTCGTCTTCCTCCTCGTCATCTCCCAGGTCACAGCCTCAGTGTTACGTGGTGGTTCAGGTAGTGCCAGGTCATAGGTTCCCCAGTGCTGCTATCTGTAAGACCTGGAGCACCAAGGCTTATCCTGCCACCTTCCATGAGACCTTCCAGTTGTGAGTGTTGTTGTTGTTGTGTTGGGAGGGTGTTTTAAGGAGTGATGATATGCTTCTCAGTCTCTTTTTTTCTCTCTCTCTCTCTCTCTCTCTCTCTCTCTCTCTCTCTCTCTCTCTCTCTCTCTCTCTCTCTCTCTCTCTCTCTCTCTCTCTCTCTGACCACACGTCTTCAGCCCCACAGGTGTAGTGAGCGGCGACAGCAGTGGGTGGGTACAGGTGTCACTGATGCAAGGACCTACCTGCAGTGGGCGCCTGCTGGGGGAAGGTCTTCTGCCCCTCACTAACCTCCCATACGTCGACTCACCTGAGCTGCAAAATACCTGTCTCAGACTAACAGCGCCGCCCGTCCATCGTGGAGAGACGGGTAGGTGATCATCCCAGAGTTTGACGGGGTTTGGATGAGAGAAGTGTGTGTGTGTGTGTGTGTGTGTGTGTGTGTGTGTGTGTGTGTGTGGTGTATGCGTGTATCTCTGTATATTTGTATTCATGTAGTACTGTATACATACTCGTATATCACTGTCTCCATGTAGCCTTGTAACTAAGTATCCCTGCATTCATGTATCCCTGTATCCATGTATTACTGTATCATTGTATACATGTATCCTTGTATCAGGTTACAGATGCTTGACTGCTCTTCGTTGCCGGACGAAGGATGAGATGGCGATCTCCTTCCTCAAGACCCTGGAGAAGTACCACCCGGAGGCCAGTGTGTGAGGTATTACCTACTTGGAGGCCAAAGAGTGAGAGACCCACCCCTACCAAAGACTCTGACAGACACACGGACTAGAGGGTATGCCCGTAGTGATCATAATAAAAGTAGTATTGTGATTAAGACGATTGTGTTTTTTTTTTATTATTTCCTTTTAATTAACAACAATAACAACAACATTGGTGGTAGTGATGTCTGGAGTATATATGTCTGTCTGTGTGTGTGTATACTTGTCTGTCTGTGTGTGTGTATATGTGTCTATGAGTGTGTGTGCGTGTGTATATATTTGTCTGTCTGTGTGTGTGTATATATTTGTCTGTCTGTGTGTGTGTATCTGTGTCTATGAGTGTGTGTGTGTGTGTGTGTGTGTGCGCGCTTCCTAAACACCTTAATACAATCATTAAAGCGCAGTAAGGGCATTGTGCCTTAGAAAAACACGTCCAGGTAGGAGGTAACACCGATGTAAACAATGTAATTACTATATGATTTAAATGAGAAAAAATACTAACGCCATCTGTAGTAATGTACACGAACTAACACTTAAAGACCTCTTAGTAGTTGAAGCGTAGTCATAATATTATAATATCAAGGCATAAGATAGGTCTTTGTGTTGACGTAGGAGGATGATGTCATCAGTGGGTGGGGCCAATAGCTACAAAGCTTCGTCTACTGTACCTTTTACGTCATCAGTGGGTGGGGCCAATAGCTACAAAGCTTCGTCTACTGTACCTTTTACGTCATCAGTGGATGTGGTCAAGAGTTACAAAGCTCCACCTACTTATGACGTCATTCTCCTACGTCATAACAACAACCCCTCTCGTGATTTGCTGCCCAACAACACTTCATAATAACTTTGGTAACAAGATACGTTCTCTTACATAGGAATAAAAGCAGTTAACTACAAGAATGTTGACCCAGGATAAGAATTGTAGACAAGGTCTCTGTCTACACATTGGAGGTGAGAAATAGGCTTTTAGGGGTTCAATAAATCCACATCTGTATCGACCAGAACGAAGACAAGTTATCAACACCTATGAATCCCAGAATAGGTAAGTCACTGTACTCTTCATCTGTAATGGTTATATGACAGCTGTACCAGATGTTACAGTATGTTCCTCGAATGGATGGGTTTTGTATCATATTCATTCAGTAATCCTCTACACACATATACACACTTTCCTCTCTTATATATGCACTCCAAAAAAGTACAGTATCTACGGCGAGGGTCGATGAATTTCACAATGAACACTGTGACTCCTGTTGTCTCGGTAGGGATGTCACAATCCTTCGTCTGCTGTGTCGTATTTTTTCACACAAAATCGTAATAAAATGTTAGCTATAAATTAAGACGTGATATAAACAGGAACTTAAAAATCAGTAGAAATTAAGTTTGATCATTGCAAAGGACATTTATAATCTTTGCAATAATATACAGTAGAAAAAACTTTTATTCTCTTTGCAATGATTTTTAAGTTGGTTGGCGTCTGGTCGAGTAAAAGTGGAATGAAAATTAAATGTTTTATTGAGAAAATACAGTGCAGGTAAAATACAGTTCAGGTACAGTAATCAACCTGAAATATGTACTGTTTGTGGTGATTGTGACTCTTCCTTACCCTATAGGTATAGAGTCTAGACACAGCATAAAACACAAGTGAATTTTTTTTAACCCCTTGAGGACGATGACTTAACGTACCCAAGGAGTTAATTCATCGTCCTCAAGGGGTTAGTTAAGTCATCGTCCTCAAGGGGTTAGTTAAGTCATCGTCCTCAAGGGGTTAGATAAATCATCGTCCTCAAGGGGCTAAGTCATCGTCCTCAAGGGGTTAGTTGAGTCATCGTCCTCGAGGGGTTATTTACTTAAGTCATAATCCTCAAAGGGTTAAATCAATGTCTACAGTTTCCATCAAGGTACCGTTTTCTTTTACCTTTCTTCAAACAGTTATTTATTTGAGGGGGTAACTAACTTACAGAACCTGAAGAGCAATTAGGACAAAAACGACTATCACAGCTAAGAAAATGAGGACGAGGATAATAATGATCACGTTATTGCAGATATTGGCCTTTCTATCATCATGTTGCTGGACTTCATTGCACCAGCCATCCATAGACTGAATGCTCTTGACAGCCACCGTGTTTGTCCTCTGAACCAGGGAGTGAACGATGGCGTTAGCGATGACCACAATGAAGCTCAGGAGAATAAGAGACGCATACCACACATCCAAGAGTTTGAAGTAAGGGGTTCTGACGCTGGAGTTCCCGGTGTTAGCGAAGAAGCCAGACAATACCAAGAGAGAGGTGAGGGAGACCATTACCCTCTCATTGAAGTCTTTGAGAGGGAAGAACAGCGTTGATAAGGATATAAGGAACACGAGGGCGCTGGGGGCAAAGCTGTTGAGGATATGGTATTCTGACAGACTCTCCAGATGTAATGACAACACGATGTAGGAATAGTTGTAACCGTCTCCATAATCGTGAGGGGTCTCGACCGTCAGATTCGACAGTCTGTACTCGAGCAGGTCTGTACTCCCCGTGTATTCCAGAACGGTGGTTTCGTCCTTTTTCTTAAATGTAATTAATCCATTCTCCATCCTTAAGTAAAAGGTGATGTTACATATCTGGGAACCAAAGGGATAGCGCTGGAGCTGGAACTTGCAGGGGACTGTCAGTCTTGTTTCGGTAAAGAAGGATATTGTAACGTCTGGCCCGGTGAGGTAGGCACCTGTTGAAGAGACAGAGAGAGAAAGGGTCATTAAGGTGATGTACGATGTATATTTGTTTTGTCTGATTTAGAACTGACTTAACACTTATAGAGACACACTATATGAACATATACTTGCAGTCGCCTACACATATACCTGGTTGAGTGGCTGGTGTGTTTTATGAGATGTGGCATCGCTGTGCTTGTTTACATGGTATTAAAACTCCCAGATTGCCCGATAAGGAGCCACTCAATAGTAGCCAGGGTAAGGATGCTAGATAAGTATTCCACAGTTGCCACATCCCACAAAATGTATAGAACTAACCCTAACAGAGAGCGTTTCTGAGACAGCAGGTTGACAAACGTTCATATGTTGCCAAGCTTCCTTAAGTCTATTAACACAGGGAAGAGAGCAACGCCAGGCGAAGTTGATTGCTCTTGTACTGGCGCTTTGATAGTGTTTGGCGCCCTTTCTCTACACCTTAATACTGGAGGAAAGTGGTGGCTCCTTCCTCCCGATGTAGCGATGAGATTTAGTGCCTTCATGTAGTCACTGACGCCCTCTACTACATACTTTATAGCCAGTACTGTCCTAGCAACCAACAACGCTCGCTGTTTCCCTTCATCCTGCAGTAACACACACACACACACACACACACACACACACACACACACACACACACACACACACATACACACACACACACGGAAACTTGAGTCAACAAACTTACGACTGTCTTCTGTCTGCCCTGTCTTACTTTTAAGAGAGTATCATGAGTCTTACCCATCATGGGGTCATCAAATGACTGCTGTTGGAGCTCCTTGACGTCTTCCCCTGCAGCCACTAACACAGCACACGAGGACGCGTAGTCATCTGTGTCGTAGGTCATCCCTGACTTGTAACCAGCTAAGGCAGACACTAAGGGAATCCAAATATTCTTACAGTCAACTTGCTGGTCATTATGCTTCAAGTTCCAGTACTTCAGGCGCTTGTCATACCACTGAAGTTGGAGATACATGTCCAACGTGACCTGACTATTCAGAGTGGTGATATCGCTGATATAATATATGCCTACATCATAAGTTATCTCTCCCAGCTCTTTGTCCCCAGCAAACGGTCTGGTGTTGTTGTCGTACCCTTTAGGGAGCTCCAGAATCTCACAATTCCTCTCGTCGCTGTCATTGCTACAGTGTTCTATGCCGTCACAAAGCTGGTCCCGGGGGATGCACTGACCGTGATCACAGGAAAACTGTTTCTTACTACAGGGCGTCAACGTAAACTGGTCTTTAATGCCTCGGGTCTCCCACATCCAGCGTCCTACTGGCAGTGGGGATCCCTTTAGGCGCCATTCATTGTTGTGAAACTTAGAGCGGATCACCCATTCGTCTCCTTCCCGCACGATCTCTGACGTATCTTCCCCCGTTAGTTGTAGGTCCCAGTCCTGGGTGGCCGTCACGGTGTACGCGCGGTCCAGTCCACTGAGGGCGCCGAACACCAGGAACCTGGTGGCTGCGGGCACCAGGCACAGGAAACACTTGAGGCTACTGACACAGGGACGGCTTCCAACAGTACCGTTGGTTAGGAGAACTGGACACACTGTCCTTATCCCTTTGTTTGAGGTATTGTGGCCAACCCAAGCGAGGACTTTACCGTCGGTGACGCAAGAGCTGTTCAACATCTGATTAACATCCACAAATGTGGTCTCGACTTCTTGGACGCTGGGGAAGCGTCCGCTTAGCACTTTACACAGGTCGAGGTGGCCAATCTGTCCCACATTGAACGGCAGCAGAAGTGTAGTGAAGATCTCGGCGCAGAGTAGAGCAGCATCATAATGGAGGATGAGGACGTCACCAGAGGAGGCCCACGAGGAGGGGTCCAGGGCCAACAGAACATCCTGGGGCACCAAGTTGGTACAGTCGGTGGGCAGGATGACCCCACCTGACCCCTTCTCCTTCACCAGTATGGAGAAGGCCGTGATGGAGCCAGTGAAAGACACTTGACCCTCTCCAGACGCCCCCAGACACACCCCGGCAGGAAAGTCTTCTTCTGAGGTATTATTAAACACCTCCGACGACGACACCCCAATCACTTGGTCACGGACATGAGCCACCACCTGCACACACCACCACATGTTATATACAGTACAGTACAGCCAGGGAAGTAAGACCTGTTAGTCCTCTTTCCCATCCATGAACCCTGAGACCCATGAACAGGTTAACCCGAGACATCACACAGTGTTGGACCCAGAGATGGTACATTATCATGTCTCGGATTCAAAGGTTCATGAATGGGGCAGAGAATTGACAGGACATATTTCCATGACAATACTTATTAATGATTACCTCTTAAACCTATGGAACTACAGTTTAAATATATTTATAAATTTGTTACTAAATGCTTCTTTATCTTGATAACGTGCCACAACTTGTCAGTGGATCGAACCAGGGACCTTGATGAACCATAACACAGTAAAAACTCTATATAACGGACTTCAATTTAACGGACTAACCTTTCATATAGTCTGTTAAATACAGGTTTAACTTTACACCCACCTTGTCTTCCTCAGCGTCAGTGTACACACACACCCGCCGCCACACCCCAGCCACCAGCGTCTCGTCAAAGGCGTAGGAGGTGTTCCCGTACTGTACTTGTAGTTGTGACGATGGCGACACACCTGTAGCAGATAACAGTGTAAAATTACAGGGGATTGGAGATAGAAAGGCAGTGATAGAGGAATATAACTCCCCATACCCACACCGTAGAAACATAAACATACTTCTATAATTACATAACCATTGGCTAAGGAATCATATTTTTTTTTTTTTTTTTTAGAAAATCGAGTTTTGTGGCCAGTAACCAAGAAGTTTTACTTAGTAGCCTAGACTCGATTTGGGGAGAGATCTTTGTGTATTAATGCCTAATGTCTATATTGCACCCCCCCCTTCCCATTACAACCATATCTGTCGTGTTTATGGCGAAGTTTTGGACAGCAAATGATTGTGGGGAGTTACTGTGATTGGGAAGTTATGTCGGAAATTGGACAGAAAGGTTACTTATGTACATTACCGACATGGAGAGTTGCATTATTCAACAGTTAATTACGTATAACTATGTCAGGTGTTTGGGGGAAGAATTTACTGTCTTTTTTTTTTTTACTTTTTTTTGTATTTTGAGGTTTGATCTGGTCTTTATATAGGTGAGTTTATGGAGATATATGTGAAGAATAAATGTGGGATAGATAGTGATTTCTCTCTCTCTCTCTCTCTCTCTCTCTCTCTCTCTCTCTCTCTCTCTCTCTCTCTCTCACACACACACAACACCTACTGGCTCTCATCACCACACCGTCCATATTAAGGGTGAAGATGGTTGGATCTGATATCCCCTGGTAGCCCTCCTCTTCGTCCTCCTCCTCCTCCTCTTCATCCTCTTCGTCAACCCCTTCATCAACCCCTTCGTCAGCCCCTTCGTCATCGTACTGGTGTTGATCCTGGTGGAGAGGTTGTAGGAAGGCACAGATGACGAAATCGGTCCCCAGGTCAGGTACTTTCTCCTTCGTCAGACAGAGGGAGGAGTCGCGTGCCCTTAACTCTACTCCCGGGATACTTGCTCCTGTAGAAGGCCATGAAGGAGGAGGGAAAAGAGATCATGATAGCCAGCTTAATGAAGGGTGAACCAGAAAGCTTAGTTAATGGATAACATGTATAGGTAGGTACCCAGCTTAATTTATGGATAATATAGGTAGTAGAGTCAGCTTAATGAAGGGTAAAAATAAAAGCTTAGTATGTGGTTAACATGTATAAGTAACCCAGCTTAATGAAGAATAAAGTAGAACTTAGTTTATGGATAATATGAGTAGATGAAGCAGCTTAATTAAGTTACCTTTCGACTCTAACTAAAGATATCAGAATGTATTAAACTGGTTCCATTTACCTGCATCACCTGTATGTCTACAGACCAGCTCCCACAGTACTAGATCTAAAGTTAATCAATATGTTGACTATCTTTCTTATGTTTCTGCATTGAAAGCTTTTGTCAATCAAGTGACCCGCTCCCCGATTTCACCATATGTAACTTATCTCTGTTCATTGTATATTTTCAGTCTTCGGGCTGCCATGTTTTCTTAATAAACCATTAATTATTATTATTATTACACTTCACCTGTATGTTCAAACACTTCACCTGTATGTCAAAACACTTCACCTGTATGTCAAAACACTTCACCTGTATGTCAAAACACTTCACCTGTATGTCAAAACACTTCACCTGTATGTCAAAACACTTCACCTGTATGTCAAAACACTTCACGTATGTCCAAACACCACCACTACTACCATATCTAACTGACATTTCTTACCACCAATAACATGTCCACATGTCCACACCTACCTTGTTCTGCAGCTCCACATACCACAACGAATGCTAGGAGGACGTATCCTACCGCGTGCCCTTCTCTGGAATTACCCATATCCGAGGGTTGAGTGAAGGATCTGTAGGTATAGGATAAAACTCGATAAATGTGACGAAATGGAAGAGAGGTTAAAGGGAGGATATAAGGTGAGACAAGGATAAAGGGAGGAAACACAAGAGAGAACAAGGGAATAAAGGGAGAGGATAAGGATAAAGGGAGGAAACAATGGAGGACAAGGGGATAAGGGGAGGAAACACGGGGGATAAAGGGAGGAAACACAAGGGGGATAAAGGAAGGAAACACAAGGGGGATAAAGGGAGAACAAGGGGGATAAAGGGAGGAGGGTAACACAAGGGAGTTCCAACAAATACCTCTGTTTGTAGATGCCAGGGGCTGACTGAGGGAGTGAGGGCCAACTATGACAGGTCACGTCATGCCACCGAGGACCAGATTTATAGTAATGGCGTGGTGTGACGTGTTGCATGTTGTAGGGGAAGGGGGTGTGTGGGGGGAGTGGTGGTGTGTGTGTGGGGGTGGTGTGTGTGTGGGGGAAGTGGTGTGTGTGGGGGGTGTGGTGTGTGTGGGGGGGGTGATGTGTGTGGGGGGAGGTGGTGTGTGTGGGGGGGGGTGGTGTGTGTGTGTGGGGAGGGGTGGTGTGTGTGGGGAAGGTGGTGTGTGTGGGGGAGGGTGATGTGTGTGGGGGGTGGTGTGTGGGGTGGGTGTGGGAGGGTGGGTGTGTGTGGGGGGTGTGTGGTGGGGGAGGGTGGTGTGTGTGTGTGGGGGAGGGTGATGTGTGTGGGGGGGTGGTGTGTGGGAAGGGTGGTGTGTGTGGTGGGGGAGGGTGGTGTGGGTGGGGGGTGGTGTGTGTGTGGAGGTGGTGTGTGTGGGGGAGGGTGGTGTGTGGGAAGGGTGGTGTGTGTGGGGGGGAGGGTGGTGTGAGTGGGGGGAAGGTGGTGTGTAGGGGAAGGGGGGTGTGTAGAGGAAGGGGGTGTGTGTAGGGAAAGGGATGGAGGGGGAATACTGAAAGAGGTGAGAGGTTAGGGGGATACAGGAAGAGGTGAGGGGTGACTGTAACACTGTATTTATTTATTACCTGTATTCCTGTAACATTCTGTATTCGTCGTCTCAATGTCAAACCTGTGGTAAAAACCAGACCAACTACCACACTGTGATATCAAAACATTCTTGAAAATATAGTATTGTATTCCTGTACCGCTGTAATCCCTGTAGTACTGTATTCATGGCTTGCCAGGTACAGCAACACTCAACTTTTTTACCTAGTCATTGGATCGAACACCACTTAGTGCCTTACTGTAGTGTTCATGACTCATTTATTATTTAGTCATTTTATTTATGTTTCTGGTTTATTTATTTATTGTTTATTTTATCTATATTTATTTGTTTATTTAGTTCCGTGTACCTTCTATAGCTTATAGGCCCAGTAGATGAATGTTTATATAAGTTTTATAAGCAAAGTTACTTATAGAACTGTTAGTAACATTTATTGTGGTATTTATTCCTTCTTGCATAATGAAGGTACTGTAGTGTGTGTGTGTCACTTGGTATACTTATGTGTGTTATGTGTCATTGTAAATCCCTATTTTATGTATTTTCGTATTTACATATTTGTATCAACCAGTAAGACAAAAATACTGTTGTTTATATATGGTGTTCGATTAAATTTGTTGATTTATAAATAATCTCGCAGGTGTGGGTGTAGTATCCGTATAGCGGGGTTGAAGAACGTGAAGGAGATGTGACAAGTGAACTAAAGAAATGATTGCCCGTCAGTCTGTGAACTGTACTTGGTGTCGACAGCAACTACCATGTGTTTCCTCTGTATAGTGACCACCATACTACACCACAGCTTCTCTGGATGTACAACCATACGTAAGAAACTCCATATAATGACGATGTAGTGTTGACCAGCGAGTGGATATAAACAAAACAGAAATAAACTGGAAAAAACAGGACGTCAACATTGCTGGACAAGTTCATTTCGCTCAGGTTAGTACATTACACGCTGCAGTCGCTACTTAATGCTTAATTTTAATATTTTATCTCGTATTTCGGGTATATCAGGACTCGATACAATGAAAGATTAGATAATTATTCTATGTAAACAAAAAGGGTCTTTCGATGTTGTTATTCTGACCGTGATATTAAATCGTCGTTGTTGTCATTTAAGTGGTAGTTAAAGGTTGTTTGGGCCATTATCGTAAGGCTTTGAGGGAGGCATATATAAAGCACTGATAAATATGAATATTCGCTAGTGGATATGGACGTGAACTGTAAATTAATTTTTTTACTGGGAGATAGAGCAAAACATATGAATACCGCCGTAAAATGCCATTTCTAATCTCATCGTATTTATCATGGGTAAATTTATCGTTACTGTCACCTACTACAACCTTCACTAAATGACGACGATTATAAAGTAGTATGTGGTGAAATAGTTCGTGTGTCTTGACGTTGGTTAGGAAGCTACCGGCCGCTCCCCTCCCTCAAATGGAAACAGAACAATTATTCACATTATCTAACCTACTTTTAAGCTTTCAATTACACCCCTTCCTATATTCCTTAAGTCCCTCCCTCCTATCCTCCTACTCATCCTCCCCCCCTCACTCCCTCCTATCCTCCTACTCATCCTCCCTCCCTCACTCCCTCCTATCCTCCTACTCATCCTCCCTCCCTCCCTCCCTCTTATCCTCCTACTCATCCTCCCTCCCTCTTATCCTCCTACTCATCCTCCCTCCCTCCCTCCTCTCCTCTTATCCTCCATCCTCCCTCCCTCTTATCTCTCCTACTCATCCTCCTCCTCCTCACTCTATCCTCCTGCTCTTCCTTCCCCCCACCTCTCCTCCTAGCCTTCCTCTCCTATCCTTCCCCTCCTCTCCCCTAGCCTTCCTTCCCCACCTCTCCCCCTAGCCTTCCTTTTCTCCCCTAGCCTTCCTTCCCCACCTCTCTCCTCTCCCCTAGCCACCCTAACCTTCCTTCCCCCACCTCTCTCACCCTTACTAACCCCCTCTCCCTTACCTTCTCGTATACGTAACCATTAATAAATAAAAGGGGTAATCCCCGTTCACTCTCCTCGCGTGCAAGAATGATAGCAGTGATGAGCTCTTTGTCTAAGTACTGTACCTGGTAGTATCCTAGAGTGGTGGTGATGTGATGGTATGATGTGGTATGTTGTGGATCATGTGGTATGGTTTTTGTGTGGTGATGTGGGTCATGTGGTATGGTATGTGTGCGGTGGTGATGTGTTGTGGTATTGTGTGGTGTTATAGTGGTATGATGGGAGGAGTATTATTGTTTGTATTGGTAGTGATGTGGTGGTGGTGTGGTAGCATAGTATGGTGTGGTAGCATAGTGTGGTGTGGTAGTGTTGTGTGATGGTGGTGATTAGTGGAAAAATACGGTAGTTACATAACCATCATTTACTGCCATACAAAGACAGGCGTCACACACGGGTATACTCCTATGATCTGGTCTTTATACTCCTGAGTTATACCACGAAATATACCCGTGGTTGGAGAGTCGTGTACCTTGATATATTTCGTCTTTATTTCACTCCTGTGTGTATATTGTTTAAATGACCTAATTAGAGCCATTACTCCTCCAATCACGAGAAAGGGGAGGTTACATACATTTCGGAATCCTTATTATGTGACAATTAGGATGTGGCAGTTGAACACGGGTCTTATTTTACATTATAAAATATACACGATAGTACTAACCTTAAATTTTACCGGAAGATTTTTTTGAGTCTAGAATTGTAGCCCCATAGCTCTTACTCCCTGCCCTGGCACCTCACTCACCAACTCCTGGGGTCCTCCCTCTAGTATTGAGGACAAATAACAGGTGGTTGATTCGTCTCACACTGGACCAGAATGGACTATTGTGTGGTAGGTTGACGTGGCTGCTGACTGGTGTGACTGTTGACTGGTGTGACTGTATGTGTAGTTAAATAGAACATGACGTTGAAGAAGTGAATACTGAAATCAGAGTAAAAAAGAATATTCTTAAAACTACAGATTCAATATTTCAGTAAAGGAAAAAAGTGTATAAATATGTTTTATTGTTGTGATTGATAAATTATATCGTGTGC